TTTCTTTCTTTCTTTCTTTCTTTCTTTCTTTCTTTCTTTCTTTCTTTCTTTCTTTCTTTCTTTCTTCCTTTCCTTTCCTTTCCTTTCCTTTTCTTTCTTTCTTTCTTTTTCTTTTCTTTTTCTTTCTTTCTTTCAAAAGGTTTTTCTTTATTAAACAAACACAAACATAAACAAAAAACACATTAAAAATATTGAACATGGTAAAGACTTCCTAACATCAATCTTTGTCATTACTTTGCTAAATCCAATAATAATTTCCTTATCGTATTTCCTGATATTAATTCCTAACAGAAGGAACTCCAGTCTTATGTTCTATTTTCGTCCCACATATTTCTTCCAGCCCTTTATGTAGTTTATGCCAATATTTTTGGGCCTCTCTGCAATTCCACCACAAATTATGATAAGTTCCTTTTTCTTTATTATATTTCCAGCATGTGGGGGAAAGTTTTGAATACGTTGTTGCCAAACTCGATGGAGGTATGTTCCATCTATAAAATAATTTGTACAGATTTTCCTTAAATGGTATAGTTAAAGTCATTTTTTAATTTCTTTTTCATAATAATTGCCAATCATCTAAATTAATGCTATACCCAAAATTTTTCATCCATATCACCATTTCCTTTACTTTTTCTTCTTCCAATTTAAATTCCAATAAGATAGATTTTTTTTATCATCATCTCCTCGGTTCCTATAAAAAATTCATCTAATTTTGTCTTAGTTTTACTAATTCCCCACTCTTTCTTATCCTTTAAATATTTCAATTCTTTCTCTCCCTTTTCTCTTTTCTTTCTTCTATCCCTCTCTTTCTCTCTGTCTCTCTCTTTCCCTTTCTCTTCCTCTCTTTCTCTCTCCTTCTAAAGCTAGGAGAGGAGACTCACCTGAAGCACACACAGGCTTCCAAGTGCCCGGCAGAATTGCTCGTTACAAGGGCTCTTCCCAGCCAGTCTCTGATCCCATGTTGCCCGAAAAAGCCAGCAGGCAAGGCAGGACTTCCTCCCCTCCCACTTTTGGGGCTGGGAAATTCAAGCGAGGTATGTGCTGCAGCCTCGCCACCCCCCCCCCCCCCCCCCCCCCCCCCGCCAGCAGCTCTGGGCTAGGCAGCTTTCCCGACTGCCTGAAACCTTACCTTCCTTCTTTCCACACCGAAAAAAAAACACGTGGCGGCTATTGGCTTCTTCAAGCAGTTTTGTTGCACTTCTCCAATGTGCCACTGCTGTATCCTAGCCACCGACCATGCAGGTCCACCCCATTGAGCCCACTGGTGCTGCACTCTGAAAGAGGTGGCTGGAGGTGACTTTTTTCGGTCCCCAGCCCCTCCTTTTCAGCACAAATGGACCGCTACTCCCCTCCTTCTCTGCCTGTTTGTTCTACATGGCCGAGGAGGAGGAGAGTAGTTGGCTGGTTGGGGGAAGCTTCTGGCGCTGCAAAAGAGGTGGCTGGAGGCGACTTTTTTCAGTCCCCAGCCACCCCTTTTTCAGTGCAACTGGACTGCTGCTCGCCTCCTTCTCTGCCTGTTTATTCTATAGGGGCGACCAGGCTGGAGGCGTGGCCAGCAGGGGTTGTCACCGGTTCAGCGACCCATGCCAAATTACTGCTACCAGTTCGCCTGAACCGGTGCGAAACGATTGAATACCACCTCTGGTGTGTGTGTGTGTGCACGTTACTAGAAAAGGACACAAATAAAAAATCCTCTGCCTACTATTTTGATTTACATCTACCGTCTCATATTTACACATACTGTCTATATTGATTTACATATACTATACATACGTAGATATACATATACATAACATATTTAAAAACATATTTTTAAATATTAATCATATCTAAGAGGTTGCAGTTCAGCCATTTCATAACATATGGATTCTTACAACCTGATACCTGCTGTAGCAAATGTCCAGGGCAGAAAATATAAATTAACTTCAGATTATAAGCAGTGATTACAAAGTGTGTTGGATCTAAGGCAAGGCAAGGCTGAAATAGCTTTCAAAAATGAAACACATCAGTTCAGAAGTTGAGTCTGGCTATTTTTACTTTTTGGCAGTGCGGCTGTGGAAAAACTCAAGTATTCTGAGTATCTCTTTGGGTTCAGTTAGCGTCTTCTTTTTCCCAGGTACGGCTAGAAACTGGGGGGAAATATTACAATGCCCATATACAGGATGTGGGACAGGATAATATGGTGACCGTCTTCATTGAAGAGCTGGCAGAGAAGTATGTATCTCTTTCCTTTTAATCATGTAATTGTATTCATTGGGAGAGCTATCGATATCACAGTTTTAGCTGCGAAATCATGTTGACAGTGTTATAACTAATACTATACAAAATTGATATCTCACTTTCCATATTATTTCCTCAGATAGGCTGGGTTTAATTTTTTTTACAATATGGGGGATTCAGTTCAACAATTTCTAACATGAAAAGGTTTTAATTTTATTTCCCAGGCAAAAGTGTGTTGAAAATGAAAGCTTTAATTTTTGTCCTGGTGTAACCTTGTTACTTAAGCATTTAAGACATAGTCTTATAGAACCTTTAAAACAATTGTATTTATTGAATACAAACCAGAGTTCTTCCTACTAGGGATCTCTGATAAACATTTTCCTAAAAAGACGAAATATATAATAATTCATATTCTAACTGCGGCCAGATTAGCATTTGCCCAGTGCTGGAAATCATCCCATTTACCTACAGATCAATTGGTCATTCAGAAAATATGTGACTGCGCAGAAATGGACAATTTAACCATAGCTCTTAAAAATAAAGAGTCTTCAGCATTTGATAATAATTGGAATGCGTGGTATAATTGGTTATATCAGAGATAAACTGTTCAATGAGCATAAATAAGCATAAATAACCATAAATAGTGATAAGATGTGTATATTTAAAGTAAGGTAGGAGAATTGGATCTTGTAGACTGTCAAAAAGAATATCTGTCTGGTTTTAACGTATTTTCTTTTTTCTTCTGTCTCTTTGTTTTTTTTCTCTCTTTTATACTTCTTTTTCTCCTTTTTCGGTCGCAAGACCGAGCGTTTTTTCTTTTTCTTTTCCTCTCTCTTTCTCTTCTTTCTTTCTTCTTTTTCTCTCTCTGTTTCTTATGTAATGTTGTTATGTTATTTTTTTAATTGTAAATTCAATAAAATTTATATATATAAAACAATTGTATTTGGGGGTTGTTTTTTGGCATGATCAAATGTCTTGCGATCCATGAAGCTTTTGTGATAATAAATATATTAATCTTTAATATATTTCCTGATTCTTCCTTTTTTGTTTGAGTTCTCTGAAAACTCAACAAATTATAGTATTACAAAAGAACACAATATGAAACCTACTAAGAGAATAATACCTGTAAGTAACTATAAAAGGGGAAATGGAAAGTTCTCTGACAATTTGATGAAAATGGGCTTATTTTTACTACCGGCTTGCAGTTTTGGTATTTCTTCAAGCTATTTTACTTAAGTTAGTATATAGCCTAATGAAGAGAAGGCTTGGAGGTGACATGATAGCTGTCCTCCAAGTTTTGAAAGGCTGAAACGGGAGATTTATTCTCCATAGTACCTGAGTGCAGGAGAAGAAGCAATAGGTCAGAAGAAGATGCAACCTGGAACTAAAGAGGAATTTCCTGACAGAGCAATTAACCAGTGGAATGGCTTCCCTCCAGAAGTTGTGGGGGCTCCATCACTGCAGGCTTTTAAGAAGAGACTGGAATGGTAAAAGATCTCCCGCCTTGGGCAGGGGATTGGACTAGAAAACCTTCAAGTCCTATGATTCTATACTTTGTCCAAGTAACTTATATAAGGTTACAACTAATTTAAATTCTAATTGTGATATAAGTCAATTTACATTAGCAGTTGGCATCATTGTGCAAACTCAATCATCTTTGTGTGGGACTCTTAAAGATAACTAGTCATGGAAAGTTTTAACCTTAGATATTGTATCATTATGATTCTAAGTTTTGTTTTATGATCGTATTAATTCTGGTTGGGATGATTTGTAGGCATGTTGTTCCATTGGTAAATTTGAAGCCTGTGACTCAAGTCACTCCACTTCCTACCTGGAATGTGATGTCCAGCAGAAAAGGAGGAAGTTATCAGAAGATACCAGGTGGGTACACCCATAAGTGAAGATAGTAATGGGATGGCTGGGTAGAGTAGTAATGAAGCTTGCAACCTGCAATTTCTCCAATAATAGTATAAACTTCTGTCTGGGAGTGAATTTGTCATCCATTTCTCATTCTTCATCATCCAGCTCATTTCTCTTTGACAATGTTTCTCAACCGTGCCACTTTTTAAGATGAGTGGATTTCAGTTAAATTAAATCTGTCCATCTTAAAGTTGCTAAGGTTGTGAGAAACACTGCCCTATTAATTGAAATGCAGGCTTAATGCAGATTTAACCAGGTAAAGTAGAACTGATGTAAACATGAATAGATACTGCAATAAAGTTACAATGACACAAAATCATAAAACTAGGTGAACATTCAGAAAATAAAGAATATTAAAATCAACCTTCTCATAGCATTCATTAGGTGAACACACATTTAATCCCTGACATTTTCCTGTGTTAAACTGTAAAGAAACTGTAAGGAGTATGTTTTTAGATCTGGCACAACGTGTGGCAAGATCAAAATATTTTACTGGTATATAATTGAAAAGTTTTCTCTGCCCAAAAAGCAAACAAATTTAAAGTTCACAATCTTTTAAGTACCTGCTGCAACAAATCTTGCTTCAAGAATTTATCATTGTTAATAACTTTAAATGTACTCATAAAGTAGATATCTGGAGAGATAATGAAGGAGATGGCCACGGTTGATTTTTTATAAGTAGACACTTCACTTAAAATATCAGCTTTTTTTGTATCTTCGAAGAGCATTCCCACTGTCTAGTCCCTAAAGATGTGAAACCTGCTCTCTAATTACCATCCTGCAGATCTATTAAATTACTCTCATATCTGAAGAATTATCTTGAACGGGCTAAAAGAGGTGAGGGTTTGAGTTTTGGAACATGACACACAAAAATAATCCTTTCTTGTTGTTTGTTTCCAAAAGATGGGTTTTTTTCAATGTCCGTAAACCTATGTTTAACACTTTTTATTATACAATTGGACCTTGCCTGGATTCTTACATGAGGCCCCTTCTGCTGCAACTTCCTTTCCTCTCTGTTCCCCACATTTAGTTTTAGATAAAATGGAGCATTTACTGTTCCATGACAACTTTTCCTAAGATTGTTCTAAATTTCTCCCCTCTTGCTTTAATATAAACAAACAAATAAACAAAAGAGTCCCCAGTTGAAAAAATAAGAAAACTGACCCAGTTGTAGATTAATCCTAGCCAAAGTTTCAGTTAGTCTTCCTATTCTTATTTCCCCTTCCAGACATGGATATGAAAGCACGGAAGAAACTGTTCAAGAAAGTGCATGGAAAGGAAATCTACATGACTGTAGCTTACAGCAAAGGCCACCCTATCCTGCCACCTCGGCTGCAGCAGAGCATCACATCAGATCGCTCATCTTTGGTCCACTGCTCCCCAAATGGACATATAAATCCATATGATCATTACCATTTTCAGAATTCACCGAGAACCGGCCGGGGATACGGAGTGTCGAGGTAAAGAGACTTGTAATCTCTCCCACCCATTTCACTGATAGGCAGTTGAGAGATGGTTGCACTGCTGATTTCGGCCATAAGCATCATGCTGATTTGAGCATAATAGTGTCATAAAATATCCACAGAGCTACTGTTTGCTGTTCCCTGTTTCTTCAGCCTTTATTCTCACACACTTCATTTACATGTTAGAAAGGAATATTTTAACTGAAGTGTACCTAGAGGTAGTACAGGTAGTCCTCAACTTACCACAGTTCATTTAGTGATCATTCAAAGCTATAACGGCACTGAAAAAAATGACCTTATTTCACACTTTGCAACATCCTCCTAATCATGTGATCAAAATTCAGGTGCTTGGCAACTGGTTCATATTTATGACCATTTTGCCCCAAGGTCATGTGATCTCCTTTTGCAACCTCCTGACAAGCAAAGTCAATGGGGAAGCCAGATTCACTTAACAACAGGTTACTATCTTAACAATTGTAGTGATTCAATGTGGCAAATAAAGTAGTAAAATAGGGCAAAACTCATTTAACAAATGTCTCACCTAACAACTGAAATTTGGAGCTCCATTGTGGTCGTAAGCCGAGGACTAACTGTATTTGGTTAATGGATGTTAGTTCATCAAACAAGTTATGATGGTGCTGAATGAAAAGGCGTATAGCCTGTCCTTGAAGTTCTGTCCATCATAGCCTCCCCATAGTCAAGTGATGTCCCACTTTGCAACCAATCCTGGTCCTAATTACTATCATTAAGTGAGAATGACCTGTAGTTGTGATAAAATTTGAGAGAAAATTTGCTAGCCCACTTCACCATAATTTCAACACCCGATTCACTTGTGATTTGGGTTCCTCTACTCCCTTCTTCCAAACCTGCATTCTGTAAATTAATGCTATATCCAAACTGGGAGAACTTTTAAAGTAACAATGACAATAAAATGCTCTCATGTTCACCCCCTGCCCAGTAATGTGATCTACACAGGGATAGTACCCACTGTTCTTTAATGGACTCATAAACCCAGAAACTTACATAACTGAGTTAATCTAGGACAGGGTTAGGGAACTTGGCTCTTTTATCACTTATGGACTTCAAATCCCAGAATTCCTGAGTCAGCCATAAAAGGTTCCCCATCGCTGGCCTACTGGTTTTTCAGTTGTGAGGGAAATCTATTTTTGACTTGAATGGGACTGTTTAATATACAAATGTAGGATATATATGAATTACATTTGTATATTAAACAGTCCCATTCAAGTCAAAAATAGATTTCCCCTACAACTGAAAAACCAGTAGGCCAGGGATGGGGAATCTTTTATGGCTGACTCAGGAATTTTGGGAGTTGAAGTCCATAAGTGATAAAAGAACCAAGTTTCCCTACCCCTGATCTAGGAAAACTCAGAGCTACAATCCAAATTGGAGAGATGAAAAGATATCAAAGGCAGCAATACTAGCAAATACATTCTGTATTGCTGCCAGGAAAGCCATATTTATTTATTAAATTTCTACACTGCCCATGTCTGTGGATGATTGTCTTACCAAGTCATCATCAGTTAAGGTGGACTTGAAGGTGTTCTTGACTTTTACTGAAGTGAGACTTGGTATAGTTGACATGCAATTAAAAATGTCTATGGAGATTCTCAATCTCCTGGTTGTCCTAAAGATGCTTTATCAAAAGGCCACTGGACTTTGTTTTTCCTTGAAGAACTTCCATTTCTCATCCAAGAAGTTTCTTCAGCTCTTCAGTTCACTTCTCCAGAACTGAAGAAGCTTCTTGGATGAGAAGCAAAAGGTCTTCAAGGAAAAACAAAGTCCAGTTGCATTGTGAAAAAGCACATTTGGGACATGCAATTAAAAAGTAATATGCTACATGGAAGAGAAAGGCAGGACCCTGCACAATTTCCACACACTTGCACAATGCCAAACGATAGCTGAGAATGAACTGCTTTGCAGTTTCTTCATTCACAGACATGTTTACAGAGATACTTGAATGGGGTTAGTTAAGAGTCCACCCTGAGCCTTCTAAATTCGTAGTTACTTTGTTTTTTTATCCTTTGAAATGTAGGGGATCTGCCCGATTTATAAACAGGAACAACATCACTGGGCCAGAAATAGCATTTTATCCTAGTCCAGGAAAGAGATGTTATCAGAGCTATGATAACTTCTCATATAGATCACGGTAAGTAACTGTAACGCTATTGTTTTACTCAAATGCACTAGGCGGCCAGTGTTATTCCTCAGCTATCGTTTGGGGTCAGCTGTACTGAGATGGATTATCCATTAACTTTCTCCAACCACTGTGAAACAAAATTATTTTTTTATACGCATGGGATGGGAACCTGTGAAGTTCCTACCTGTGAGATACTTTTCTACTGTTGTCCTAGTTCCTCTAAGCTTTTCAGTTCCAGGGATGCAACTTTCTGTATCCTTGAAGCAATGTTAAAACGTTTCCAACCAAGACATTTTTCAAAGAAGCCCAGGATCTCTGCTGTTTCAGATTCCAAACTATTGCTTTGTTGATGCAGCAGGCCAATGCCACAATACATGAATCTTAACTGCCAAAAGTGCCAGTCTGGTAACAATTGAGCACAAATGTCCATTGGTCCTGTAGTTGCAGCTGTAGGCATTTTCTTCCAAATGTTTTAGACTTGGAATATACAATGGTGGTGGTGATGGTGATGACATTTTAACCTATTGATCATTCTGGAAGTTCATACAGCCGTAGTCACAGCCAGATGCAATGTGTAAATAAAGAGTCCCAGTATGGATTTTCACCTGAGAATGGGGCGGAACCTCAAGGTGTAGAAGAAACCATGGCTTTCTATGAGATTGAAGAAGGGGATGATGCCAATTTTCCAGCTTTACCTGTAAGTTCTTGAGCTGAATTAAGTTGAAAAATGCCAAAGTAAGGCAGCAGGATAGGATGGACAAGACTGCAAAGGGAAAGTTCACGAGTTTTAAAGTTGCCAAGTTTGGAAACTCCTGGGATTAGAGAGTGCTGGATTAAATGGCCTGGAATTAATCTAGCAGGCTGTTAGGAAGAATAATCAAGTTTGATTAAATTCCCATTATGGGAAAAGATCAATCTACACAGATGAAATATAATTGCAAAGCCTCAGGCTCTCAATTTTGTTCATGGGACTAAAATTTATTAATAGAGCGGTGCACAACAAAATTGTTTAAAAGGATTAATTATAAAAAGGGTACAGAATTGCTAACAGTATCTTTCAAAGGTATAAATGTGTGTCGGCAAATCTTACTCTGAGAAAAAAATAAATAAAATCCTCAGGGCAACTTCTGCTGTCATAAAATTGAATTTAGGGATTTTAAAAATGCCAAAACAAGAGGTTTTCTGCTTTAAGTCAGAAACCGAAAATGAGGTTTTTGTATATGAATATTTTTAATGCTTGCTTTTTCCCTTTCTGCCCTTCTCTACACTGATTTTTAAAAATAAATTCTTAAAAGCTCTAATTATTAGTAAACATTATTTTCTCATCCAAATTTGGAAAGTCTAGCAAGCTGCTTCATAAAGTTCGTTTTAGAATCATGCAGTATATTTCAGAGCATCTACTATCTATTGAAGTCCAGCACGCATATTCCATTCTGTCAGGGTTAGAAGGAAATGTTGAAACTGTGCTGCATATTTGCAATAAAGTGAAGGCTATGTTAATAAATAATCTGACTTGTTTCTCAGAATCGAGGTAACTCAGCTCCGATAGTTCCTGCTCCTGCAGGATTCTGGGTGACAAAAAGGACTTCAAACTCCATCCCCCCAAACAAGCCAGGGCTGAATAATTCTGAAGAAGAAGTAGAGGAACCAACTGATACTGGTAAGGATAAACACAGAATAGCAATAGAATTAGTGTTAAGATTTGTATACCACTTCACAGTGCTTTACAGCCCTTTCTAAGTGGTTTACAGAGTCAGCATCTTGCCCCCAGCAATCTGGGTCCTCACTTTACCGATCTTGGAAGGGTGGAAGGCTGAGTCAACCTTGAGCTGGTTAGGATTGAATTCCTGGCAACTGGCAGTCAGCAAAAGTAGCTTGCAGTGCTGCATTCTAACCACTGCGCCATCAGTTTCCAACTTGTTCTGCTTCATAAGATGTTTACAAAAGATAGTCTTTAAATTATGACAATAATGGAGACATCCCATTATGGCCATAAGTTGTGATGGTCATAAATGACAGATGCTTCCAATTTTATGACATATTTTTGGTGGCAGTTTTTAAGCAAATCTCATGGTTGTTAAGCAAACACCATGATCGTTAAGCAAACTAATGGTTCACTATAGGCATAGTTTGCAGAAAATGAAGTAACTACCAGTTTTCAGCAAAACTGTTGTAAAACATGCTCACACGATTGTGGGGTACTCCAAATGTCCATGTTGCCAAGCCCCCAAAGTGCAATCTTATGATCACATGGGAGGCAACCGTTGGATCTTCAGATCCAGATTGTAAGTTCTCTTTTATACACTGCTCAAAAAAATAAAGGGAACACTTAACACAATGTAACTCCAAGTCAATCACACTTCTAAAATCAAACTGTCCACTTAGGTAGCAACACTGATTGACAGTCAATTTCACATGCTGTTGTGCAAATGGATAGACAACAGGTGGAAAGCATAGGCAGTTTGCAAGACATCCCCAATAAAAGAGTGGTTCTGCAGGTGGTGACCACAGACCACTTCTCAGTTCCTATGCTTTCTGGCTGATGGTTTGGTCACTTTTGAATGCTGGCGGTGCTTTCACTCTAGTGGTAGCATGAGACAGAGTCTACAACCACACAAGTGGGTCAGGTAGTGCAGCTCATCCAGGATGGCACATCAATGCGAGCTGTGGCAAGAAGGTTTGCTGTGTCTGTCAGTGTAGTGTCCAGAGCATGGAGGCACTACCAGGAGACAGGCTAGTACATCAGGAGACGTGGAGGAGGCCATAGGAGGGCAACAACTCAGCATCAGGTCTGCTACCTCCACCTTTGTGCAAGGAGGGACAGGAGGAGCACTGCCAGAGCCCTGCAAAATGACCTCCAGTGGGCCACAAATGTGCATGTGGCTGCTCAAACGGTCAGAAACAGACTCCATGAGGGTGGTATGAGGGCCCGACATCCACAGGTGGGGGTTGCGCTTACAGCCCAACATCGTGCAGGATGTTTGGCATTTGCCAGAGAACACCAATGTTGGTAAATTCGCCACTGGCACCCTGTGCTCTTCACAGATGAAAGCAGGTTCACACTGAGCACGTGACAGACCTGAGAGGGTCTGGAGATCGTTCTGCCTGCCTGCAACATCCTCCAGCATGTCTGGTTTGGCAGTAGGTCAGTAATGGGATGCGGTGGTATTTCTTTAGGGGGCCGCACAGCCCTCCATGTGCTTGCCAGAGGTAGCCTGACTGCCATTAGCTACCGAGATGAGATCCTCAGACCCCTTGTGAGACCATATGCTGGTGGGGTTGCCCCCGAGTTCCTCCTAATGCAAGGCAATGCTAGACCTCCTGTGGCTCGAGTGTGTCAGCAGTTCCTGCAAAATGAAGGCATTGATGCTATGGACTGGCCCACCGTTCCCCAGACCTGAATCCAATTGAGCACATCTGGGACATCATGGCTCGCTCCATCCACCAACGCCACATTGCACCACAGACTGTCCAGGAGTTGGCTGATGCTTTAGTCCAGGTGTGGGAGGAGATCCCTCAGGAGACCATCCGCCACCTCATCAGGAGCATGCCCAGGCATTGTAGGGAGGTCATACAGGCACATGGAGGCCACACACACTACTGAGCCTCATTTTGACTTGTTTTACATTGAAGTTGGATCAGCCTATAGTGTTTTTTCCACTTTAATTTTGAGTGTAACTCCAAATCCAAACCTCCATGGGTTGCTAAAATTGATTTCCATTGATAATTTTTGTGTGATTTTGTTTTCAGCACATTCAACTATGTAATGAACAAAGTATTTCATAAGAATATTTCATTCAGATCTAGGATGTCTTATTTTTGTGTTCCCTTTATTTTTTTGAGCAGTGTAGATAGGGTGTAACTTTGAATAGTTGCTAAGCAACCAATTGTAAGTTAGGAATCCTTTGTTCAAACTTACAGATTTCAAGAGAACTTTTTTGAATTATACCAACACAATTGTTAAAGCAAAAATATGCCTTCTACCAGGGTTACTGCTTCATTTCTTTTACAAAGTTTGGGATATTGATTAAGAGTTTTTAAAAAGTCATTAAAAATTCTTTGCAGAAGTCTCCTGGCTTAAAATTGAATATGCTGTTATTTTTCAGAATAGATGTGATCTGAAAATTTCAGTATGTACAATTGCAGGCACCAGTGGGTTTTTTTTTTTTCATTATTTAAAAATGTGTTTCTCAGTTAGAATCTAGACCTAGCATAGCATGATCTCCATGGTGCCCTTTGCTATTTATACTAACTTTGGAAATGTTAGCCAGAAATATTAGACAAGATGAATAAAAAAATAAAAGGAATAGAAATAAAAAAGAGAAATACCAGCTACATGCATTTACAGATGATTTGGTCTTTAAAATTGAAGACCCATTAGAAGCTGGACTAAAGTTAATTAGAAAGATAGAAGGTGGGGGCAGAGCCAGTTGTCAGGGAGAAGGGACGTGCGAGCAGAAATCTTTGCGAAACATGAGCCCTTATCCCTGTTCTGCAGGACTCTACTGAGTCAAAGGGAAGCTCAGAGGGCTTCCTAAAGGAGAGGGGTCTTTGAAGATCAGTTACGGAAAGCGGTTCATGGTGGGAATCAAAGTTAAACAGGGATGAGTGAACCGTGGAGCGGATGGCTGTCAGCAATGGCTGTCCATGAGTGCTGACAGCTGCTCATACAAGTGATCTAGCGGAATGAAGGTACAGTCAAACTGATGAAAGTAACAACCTGAAAGCGAGTGAGAAAGTACTTTAAAAGAAAGTGCAATATATCATTGTTGAAAGATAGCTCAGCAGTCGGAGTCAGTTCTAAATGAGGAGGTAAGAGAGTGGTGAAACAAATGGTAAGTGGAAAGATCAGAAGATTACAGTAAAGCCAAGTGAGAGACAGGAGTGACGAAACAATCGGGTATTCAATCGGCAAACTAAGCCTGGATTGGAGATCAGAATATGAGTTTTGGGGAAAATAATTTTTTGGATTTAATATTAACAGCGGAGTCTTTTTAGATGGACATTGTAAATGTAAAGGTCTGATTCAGACATCGGAACAGAAAGGAGGATGGTGGAAGCGAAGACAGTAAAAAGCTGATTGGTTGTTTATTTTCTTTCTCTCTTTTTGAGTGCTCCTTTTATTTTCCATTATTCATTTTCCTTATTTTTCTTGTTTTTGTTTAATAGCTATTATTTTTCTACCTATTTGGACTTTAGACTGAGACATTGGAAGGATTAAAAATAATAAATAAATAAATAAATAAATATTCCTGTAAGAAAATGGACAAAAACTAGAGAGTGACACAGCGAATTCAAAGAAGACAGACATTGTTGCAACGTGAAAGAGATACCTGCTGGTAGCAGAGAGAGACCAAAAAAAAAAAAGATGGGACAGAAGATACACAGTAATTCTTTGCAACAAAGTTAAGGAGAGAACTGTGGCTCCTAGAGTACCAGATTCTTTGTTTTTATAGTTAGAAGACATCCTAGAGAATGGACTCAAAGCATTTTTTTTTCTTTTTTTGTACTTTTAACAAATAGAAAATTGGAACTGAGCTTTTCTTCTCTTTTTTCTTCCCTTGTTTTTCCCTTTGCTATCTTCTTCTGTTTTTGCATCCCTTGAATATTTGAATTTGATAGCAATATAGAGGTATATATATTATTTGCTAATAGATTTAATAGATTTATGTATTTGAATATTTATTAGATCTTCTATTAATGGATTGATATTACTATAACATATATATTATATAGAATTATTGAAATTAATATATAACCCTGATTAATCAAAATATCATATTACTATTACTATCAATATATTATATTATAGATTTAAAGGAAAAAGCGAATGGAGATATTTGATAATTTAGGTTATTATAGAATTGTGAACGGTGGGGAATAATAAGAGGAGATATATTGTAATATTGTGTTATAAAGGGAGGGGAGGTGAAGGGTGAGAGAAGTGGAGGGATGGGAGAAGAAGGGGAAAAATTGGGAGTGGTGGATTAAAAATAATATAGTGACAAGACTGCTTAATATGACAAGTACTTCAAATGTATCCAGGATTGGTACAATTAGGAAAATACCCACACAAATGATGACAGCAACCATAGCAAGTCCTTCTACATGAAGAACTATTGATGAAATGCTGCCAAAAGAAAGATCAAATTCTATAAAGGATTTACAAGATATAATGTTGAGTATGTAAGAGATGATGGTTAAAAATCATGAGGATATGAAGATTGAGATGGGAGCGGTGAGATCAGAATTAAAGGAAAAGATAAAAAAGATAGATGAGAAATTTGAAGGGTTTCAAAAAGAAATTAGGAAAAATCAAGAAAAAATTGTAGAAATTGAGACTAAGATGGATAAAGAAGAAAAAAGGGAAGATAACGGATAAACTGGAAAAAGCTAATAAGGAATTAGAGATGACAGTAATTTTTTGGGAAGTAGAAAAGGCAGCTCAGTACTTAAGATTTCAAAATTTGAAGGAAGAAAAGGGAAAAAACTTATTGGAGTTTATGGCTGACATATTGGCAAAGATGGTAGGAATGGACAAGGAAGAGATGTTTACAGAGATGGACGAACTCTTTAGAGTTCAAACAAGTTATGCAAGGAGATTTAACCTTCCAAGAGAGGTCCGACTAGTTAAAAAATCGATTCAAGATGAAATTCTCA